AATTATGGTGCTGGCCAAGGGGGTGATATGGATAGATCGACGATCTGAATTTGATCCCATGTCTTTTTTCGAAGCAGCTGACGCGGGAGACTGCTGTTCTCTTGGACTAACTTGTATTGTGTGTAAGTGCTTCTTTTTGTTTGTTTTGTTACGCACGACCAACCGTAGAACGCTGTTCTCTGTGAAAGGTTTCCAGAAATCCTGTTTTGTCCGTAAAAACCATTTCCAGACGCCGCCTGAGACAACACAAAATTTTTCCACAATACGTTTTAGATAAAAGAAAGTACGCTCTACAAGGCCTATATGGTTGTTTGACTTCAATGTTTAAGACTGTTCTAAGGAAAAACTGCCCTGTAAAAGCCCAGGGCTCGAAAATCGGCTTTTTGGAAACGCATTGCGAAGTACGGGAGCCGAAAAAACTGATAATACCATTAGATTCAGCATATTGAAAACCTCTAAGATCCAGTTCCTCCGAATCTACTGCTTCTGCAAGTAATGCTATAAGAAAGTCTTTCATTACTGAAGAATTTTCTGTTCAGTCAGACTTTAATTGGAAAGCTCCTGATGTGAAGATATCCTTATCTTTCGCTATATATACCAATTGTGTCACGTTCAATTATCCATCACCCGATGATTTTCAAATATACTGTTCATCATCATTATTTTTCGATATCACAATCACACGATCGGCTACCAAATAACATGAATAGAAACCGATACCAAATTGTCTAATCATTGAAGCATCAGAACCAGTTTGCAAAGTTTCCATTAATACATATGAACGCCGGCTTGCAGTTGTTCCCAACTTATAGACTAAATAATCTTTTGTCATTCCAATACCTAAACTGCGATAACATCAGATTGTCTTTCTACGTAGTATGTATCCGGTACTCGAATTTAATATAGATTCACTCGTTCAGAATAGAGTACAGAAATAAACAGAAACAAAAACAAAAACCAAACCCCCAGAAAGGGCCTCAAATTTGCAAATAATATTTCAGCGTCGCTTTGAAAGTGACCTAGAGTACGTGCTGCAACAACCGTTTCTGGTAAAGCGTTCCAATCTTCGGCAGTCTGATAGAAAAAAGCTGACGCTATCCGTTCTTTTTGTAAGACTCGGTGTCGCGACTGGGTTGTTATGTGAAAGTTTATCCTCAGATTAGTAGTGATACATTATTAGAACGTTTAGCTGAGTTTGTTGACGATCAACAGAATGTTCCTGATGATACAACTTTTTTAAATGGCACTGTTTATCGTAAACCTAAAGGGGAAAAAATAGCATCCACACGTGAATATCGTTTAGTGGAAGATGATGATGATCTATTTCTATTTGTTAAACTAACTAAAGGGCGTACACGTGGTGAGTTACCATTTCAGTCTGTTCAGAACTAGCTAGCTGTTTTTCTATCTATCTCTCTTCTTGTTGAGACACATTTTAAAATGTTAAAAATACTGAAGAAGTTGAATTTTTGTTAATCAGTGCTCTGAACCGAATGCGGAGAAGTATGAATAGTGGAGAGAAACTGATTGCTAAACATCTAGAAACTTGTGTAAAAGATGCTGAAATATGGTGTTCACGCGATCGTTGTGAATTTGTAACACGTACCGTTAATGAAAACGTTGTTATTACTACAAATAAAACATCGACCAAATTCGACGTGTGCGAGTTAGGAAACAAACAAAAGAAAGAAAAACCACAGAAACAAATAACATCAGAATGCTAGTAAAAAAGGTAAAATATCCTGATCGGGATATAGAATATGCAGCTCGGGAATTATTTAAAAAAAGGTTGCTGTCCGAGAAAAAGACTTGGTCACAAGGAAAAAAGGATACTTGAGAATGAAAGAAAGAAAGGTGGTATAAGTGCTTCTTTTTGTTTGTTTTGTTACGCGCGACCAGCCGTAGAACGCTGTTCTCTGTGAAGGTTTCCAGAAATCCTGTTTTTTCCGTTTCAAATATGTTATCCGTATGTGTGGCAAGTAGAAAGTGGTAAAGTGAAGCTAACTTACAATTGTGAGGAACACAGCATACATCTCCGCATTTTTTCGCAAGTTGCCCCTACTCCAGTCAACTTCGATTGATATATTTGGATTCTATAGGTGTTATCACATAGGAATCAATTAAAAACTAAAATCTTATATCTCGCGTTTCTGAGATATAGGTACCCGAGTTCTCAGGAAAACTTACGAATTTCTATAGAAAATGAGATCTGACTCACATTGAAGGAACTGTGATCGACAGCACGATAATTTGTGTACAGAATTTGATAAAAAAGTGCAGTTTTTTATCCATTTCAACCTAATTTGATGGTTTTAAACGATTTTTTCACCAGTACATGCATGACACTTTCATAAATATCTCAGGAATGGCAGATATATGAGCTTGGGTTTTTAGTTAATGCATATACTTCGAGCTGTGTAGAAAATGTTAGTCGAGGCCGTCTAAAATGTTGAGAATGCAATTAAAGCTAACGAGGGGAATTGTCAAAAATCAAAAAACCAACATGTTCTTTTGAAAACACTGCTGTCAGCGAGCGTGTGTTAGGTGTGCTGAAGAACTAGACATTGAAGTTTAGCTAGGTTAGACAGCGCGGAATTCGACGTATCTATTGAATTTTAAGTTTAGACTACATTTTCATGGTGAAAAATCCGTTCCAACATGACTATTTCACATCTTTCACCATCTTAGAACAAATCGAGTGGACTAGCGAATCACTGCAAAACTTTTCTAAATGAGCCATTTTAATTATCAGTCTCTAATCTATAATCTCTAAGTTTCGGCGTTATCGGCTTAGCTAATTCTCAGGAAGAGCCCATTGAAACCTTAAAAGCCGAATCCTCCTAGTGTCTCGCTATAGTTTTGCCACTTTATGCCGGATAGTTTAGCTTTTTTTTCTTGGTAAAACGTATGGTGGAGCTTTAAATGGACGAATCTATGTGAAACTCGCAAAGACTTTCTACATAAAAAATAAAATTTTACTTTGACATGTACTTTCCAAAGAAACCGTTCTGTTCAATCTTTGGTTTACCATGAACAACTCCTTCTGCTTGTTTTCTTCCATCACCACCACTACCGGAAATTGAATCAAATGTAATGTCATCTTTATTGGTGAATTGAAACCAAGAGACAAGTTTTTCTTTACATCGTTTATCGAATGAAAAATATCTATTAAAAAATACAGGTTCGGCTGTAATTTGACGCCATTGATGACATACTGTTGAAGTTAAAAGCAAATCATTGAATGGTTTTATTTTAAAGAATATGAATTGTAATATTTCACGTGGTAGAATGAGACCATTATTGATTTCGTCATTTAGATTCAAAATTGGTGTAGTAGCCATCATAGACAAAAACAAATGAAAGAAAAGTCTGAAACAGATGTAGTATGAATAACTATTATTGTTTTTTTTCTGACATCCTCGTTACATAATAGACAGGCGTAGCTTCGAAGAAATGGAGATAATAATATGTGCCCTTTTTAATAATATGTGCAAACATCCATGTCAGGAAAAACGGAAGTAATATAATAAGCTCTTATAACAACGATTTTCGTAAAATATTTTTTAGTAAAGAATAAATAATTGAGTATATGACTGTTTTCACTGTGATTTTAGTCTAGTATTCGATGATTTACTGCCATCATCGTGAGAAAACATAATGACATGATGAGTACACTGTTTTCACTATTGCAAAAATAAGTAGAAAGAAAAGAAAATGTTGTTATGTCATGTACTAGAGTCGTACCATAAGGGAGAAGATCATAGTTAAGGTTATTGAGCAAGCATATAGTCTAAGTTATTGCGCAAGAATATATTCAAGTTTAGGGCGCCAGAATATTCAAATTATTGCGTCAACATAGTCAACGTTATTATTACTTATTTGCAAGAAAACTGACCATATGGTCCTAACAGTACAGAGGTAGGAGTTTGTAATAAAAAAATGAAAAAAGCAGAAAAAAAGAGACAAAATGAAATTTACAGAAGTATTCAATACAGGTAGAGACAGTTTAACATTTGTACCAAAGAGGATTTCTTTTGAAGAGTGACATAATTAGAGAGAGACATAATTAGGATATCAAATGACTATTTACATATACATCAAAACTATTAAGAAAAAAGTAGAGCTAGAATGCTTCTGGGAAATTAGACAACCTAATGACATCTTCGATGTCGAAATTAGGAATTGATTTGTTAGAGGCCTGTTCAGCACACCAAGAAGTAATTCTTTTCAGAAAAGAGTCATGCTCAACATATCTCTTAGACCTATGGACCCCCTTCACTCTAGTCTCGCCAGTCAGCCAAGTCTCTCGAAACACATTTAGGTTCGCCTTCTCAAGAATTAAACTACCATCGACTGTATCTGTCAAGGCCATAAAATATTTGTTTCAATAGTTCCTACACCTATCTTCCAAAGATACTTCATTGAAAATAAATGAAAAAAGATCGTCATTTAAATGCAAATAAAAGTAAATTCGCCGTAAGCATGTGTAGTAAAAATGATATAAATCCGTTCGCTGTTTATCTGTGAACAGTGGAAACAATGGAAAAAACCATGTAAAGAGCTACAATACATACGACAAAAATAAAGCTTTTCTTAGTTGAACTGAAGCGGAGCCACCCAGCCGAAAAGAATTAATCAATGCTACTCTCTGTCGAATCTTGATCATACTCCTTATTATCATAATTCCAAAACCTATTTTCGGAGTTACCCAATACCCTAAGTATGTAGATTCTTTTACCCAATTGACAGTGATTTCTCCCGACATTTTACCTTCTATTTCTCTCTTTTCCTCCTTCTTATCACCGCATTTAATCATAAATTGCGCGTTTCCATAACCTCCTCGAGCCCGAGCGGACCACAAAGCTTTAGTTCTGGATCAATTAATCGGCTGAACGTTCAATACAGCATAGTATTCCAAATTATCGAGGAACAATTTCATTCTTCTCTCTAAATCAATGCACTGCTTTGTATATTTTTCCCCAATACCTCCAGCGAGGACGGCCGCAAGATCGTCTGCGAAAAAGAACGAAGTACAAACATAGTCAACATTAGTGCGCAATATTGTGTATATAAATAGATCGAGTTTTATTGTTAAAGAGAACTTTTTTGTTTGTTAATAAACGGTGGTCATACACATCAGAAAGGACGTACCCTAACAAATGTGATTTGTACATATGTTGGCGAGCATCTTATGAACTACTAAATACCAAAATCATTCACGATATTTGTTCCTATACGTTGAGTTCAGTAGAAGAAAGGTTGTGATGTCGCGGGTACAACTTTTGCACAATTGCAAAAAATAAGTAGAAAGAAAAGAATAGAAAATGTGATTTGTACATATGTTGGCGCACATATCCTTTTTGAATTAGCGAGAAGTATGAGCGTTTTTCTAAATGGGACGTTAACTGTACTCTGTGTAAAAAGTTTTCTACAAATCTTCTTAATATGTTCAGTTAAAACAGTTGATTTCTGGCCATAGTATGACAAGACATAGAATGTAGTTTTCTTCGGAACTTGTGCTGGCTTTGTTGATGCTTACTGTTACTTTGTTGTTGCAAGATTTTCTTGTTAATAACTTCTCCCTCTCTTATTCCTCTTTTTATGACGTGTTTAAGATAGCCGTCATCTGATAATGTGCTTTCAATTTTCATGCTTAAAACGCTAGTGGATTGTACTCTTTTTGAGTAACAATTTACTGAAATGTGGATTTTTTATGTTGAAAGCTGCTCTGAAGGACTATGAGCGGTATTTTGACTTTAATAAAAACCCCTTTTTGTTTGATCAAAAGGACAACAGCAACAAGAACAACAATACAGTACTATTCATCAGTGATACAGATGTAAAATGTTCATTTAATACATCAGCCTTCTCATTAGGTTCACTTACAAGTTTGCCAGAAGAGAAACGAATAGGTGGAATTAAAGATTTATTAGCTCAACCTAAGGAACAAGAAACTTGGAAAAGGAAAAGGTCTTGTTCGATTCTAGTTGTCTAATATTTCAGAAAGGAAACAACGGTTAAAGTTGAGATTTTCGGAT